CAATAGCAAATAGATGCGAATTTTATTTAGGGTAGCAAAGACCAATCAATTAAACAAACACAAAAAAGTGATAATAAAAAAGTTAAACGAAGGGATGTGCCCTCAGTTTTTTGTTTCTTTTTTTTCGGCACTTGGTGCAACAAGTCTTGGTAATTCGAAATAAATTTTCGATGGGTCATAAATGAGTAGTGACACGACATGGCGTGGTATGACTGAATATTTTATTTATTTTTTTATAAATTGTTATTAATGAGTTTTTAATTGGACAGTTTCGGTGGATAATAATGCAACCAATAAAGACATGATATAAAGATACATATGCATGCTAGTGAGTACAATGTTTTTGATTGAAATGTTTTTGAGAGATTTCTTTATTGTACTCATAACATTTGACTAGATCGACAGGTAAATTAGAATATTGTATTTCCCATTATTAGTTTTAGTACATAATTACCTGAATAATGAGTGCTATTCAACCTTAAATTATAGCCACATATTTATACCCCTCAGGCTACAGAGGGTATATATCATTTGATACGGTCAAAACGTGCCTAGTCGAAATAACGGTTTTAGACCCTAGGTCCCTTTGGACAAATCCGTTTCAGAACATTTGGAGTCGATCTAGCGATGTCCGTCCGTCCGTCTGGCTGGTGCGCACGATAACTCTCGAAGGGAGTATCCTATTTGGTCCATATTTGGTGCATCGTAATATTTCAGTCAGTCTACTCCTTCTGGTACCTCCCCACAAAAGGTCGAAATTTTCAAAAAATAGATTTTTTGCACGGAAAGTGGAAGGATAATCCGATTTTGCTCCAATTTTGCACCTCCTAATATTTGCGTTAGTGCTAGGTCATGTGTGAAAATGGGCAATATCGGTCCACTCCATCAAGTACCTCCCCCCAAATGATCAAAATTTTGAATAATTAAAACTCTCATACAATGTGATGTAAGAGTCCGATTGTCTCCAAATTTCATACATTCCAATATTTATATTAACGTAAGGCATGGTGTCAAGATGGAATATATCGGTCCACTCCTTCTGGTACCTCCCCCACAAATGGTTGAAATTTTCAAAAAAAAAAATATATATTTTTTGCACAGAAAGAGAAACGATAACCTGATTTTGCTCCAACTTTGCAAATCCTAATATTTGCGTCAGTGCTAGGTCTGGTGCGAAAATGGACAATATCGGTCCACTCCTTCAGGTACCTCCCCCCAAAGGGTCAAAATTTTAAATAATTACAACTCCCATAAAATGTGATGTAATAGTCCGATTGTCTTCAAATTTTACACATCCCAATATTTATATTAACCCAAGGTCTGGTGTTAAGACGGAATAAATCGGTCCACTCCTTCTGGTACCTCTCCCACAAATGGTAGAAATTTTCAAAAAATACATATTTTTTGCACAAAAAACGATAATGCGATTTTGCAGCAACTTTGCAAATCCTAATATTTGCGTCGGTCCGCTCAAAATTTTGAATATCCATGAAGCTCACAAAAAGCGAATTCCAATCCAGACATGGTACATCTCAATATTTCCATCAACACAAGATCTGTTATAAAGATGGTATAGATCGGACCATTTCTCTTGCTACCTGCTCCACATAAAGCTCAAGATTTTGAAAAACAAAACGCCCAAAGATATTCCTTATAGTCCCTCACCCACAAAGGGTCACAATTTCCAATATTTTTATCTGTAATAAATTGCGAAACAACTCAGCGATTCTTTTCAACTTGCTATATCTAAATATATATCTCTCAACCATAATCCTGAGATGAATATGGAAGGATATACATCAGTCGGCAAAACTGACCGATACTTTTTTACTTGTTTTATGTTAATCTCTCATGGGCGAAAAAATTTCTCCAGCTTTTGTTGCTTAAAATGAATTGAGAACCGACGATCGAAAATTAATATATAAACATGTAAGCAAATGCTACAGCAGTGCGGGGTCGACCATGCGATACTCCAGACACAATAGTCCAACGGATTAGTATACGGAGATTTTGGTAGTCATTGTGTGATAGAAATGAAGCGAGGAACCTCATTTTGTAACCATTCTTGGGTGGCGCTTGCTGAGTGCGATGAAGCTAAGTCCTGTTGGAATGTCCACGGTGTGCGGCCAAAATGTTTGCGTGCCCAAGGCTTTCATACAACTTCCAGATTATTTTCGCGATAATATTCGGCATTTATTCTGATGACCATCGGCTGTTATGGGGGCCAACACCATCACCATGGCCGGCGTTTGAGTTCTGATGGCCACCCGGAGGTGCACATTTTCAGCTGACCTCTTTGGCAAGTAAACACGATCATTTTATTTGTTTCCAAACTGCTGGACAACGAATGTTTTTTCATCGGAGAAAACCAAATTCGGCACTTCTCCACTTTTGGCCAAGCGAAGCAACTGTTTAGCTCTTTAGAGTTTTTTTCTGTTCCGGTGTAAGTTCATGGAATTTCAATGGCTTTACCCCGAGCTCATATTTTCCGAATGGAATATTGCGATATGTTCAGCTCAAGAGCCATTCTTCGGCCACTGCGACGCGAGTTTCGATCAAGTCGCTTCTTTACTTTTCAAGCATTTTTGCTGATGTTGCTGTTTTCTTCCGTCCACTTCCTTGACGTCGGGCTACACTACCAGTATCACGGTAACCAGCGATGGTACGAGACACAAACAATTTATTCACATTTAAATGCTGGAGTGCTCTAACGATAGCCACTTGTGGTTTTCCAGCCAATATAAATAAATCACACTATCTCGCTTGAATTCCATCACGAATAACTATTTTTCTGAAAAATTCTCACCAAAAATGCTTTTGCACGCTAGAAAACAATATAATGAGCTGTCACTGGAATAATTTCAACGGCTGTCGGACGAGTGGCTTTGAAATAGCAGCAGTCTGAAGTTGGTTGCAGTTTTTTCATCTCAGCCCCTATATGGCGTTTCGATAAGATTTAGACTTTTGATGTCTTCTGGGACCTATGGTATTTTATGACAGCTATATTTGTAGGGTATTTTAACAGACGACCGAGTTCAAAAAGAGTTTTTAAATATATTTTCAAAAAGGACAAACATAAACCTTTGTTGGCTCACACGAGGGTTAATTTCTTTGACCAAAATGATCCTCATATTGTAATCTGTAATATTGTCGAAGACACTATTGGAGTGGGGCCTTCTATTTTATACCCTCCACCACAGTTTGTCATTCCGTTTGCATTTTAGACCCCACAAGGTATATATATTCTTGATCAGCATAAAATTCCATGTCGATTTAGCGATGTCCGTCCGTCTGTGGAAATCACTCTAGTTTCCGAACGAATTGAAGTAGATTGATAAAATTTTACTCAAATGTATATTATGTTCGCAGGACTTTTGGTATTGAAAATGGACCATGTAGATCCACGTTTTGGTATACCCCCATTATTTCGGAATTTTGGTGATTTAATGTTGAAAAGTTTATTATTTAAAGTTCATAATGAATACTACAGCCTAAGACAGAAAATTCTCTGTCCAGGTCCAAGTCTTTGTATAGCCCCCACTTAACGGTTCCTCCCGATATTCGGTGTTTTGACGATTTTGGCCCATTATTCACCGGAATTGCTTCAAATTTGGTATTTGATTTCCGTAATGGATACTACAGCCTATGACAGAAAATTGTCTATGAAGGTCCACGACTTCGTATAGCTCCCATATTACAGCACCTCCCGACATTCGGTACTTTGATGATCTTAGCGACATTATTCATTAGAATTGTTTCAAATTTGGCATTTGAAGTTCGTAATGGATACTGTTCCACGTCTTCGTATAACCCCCAAATAACGGTACCTCCCGATATTCGGTACTTTGATACTCTTAGCGACATTATTCACCGGAATCGTTTCAAGTTTGTTATATGATTGTCTGTCCTTGTCTCCATTTTGGTATAGCCCCCATATAATACTATCTCCCTATATTGATGATTTTAGCTACATTATTCACCGAATTTTTTTCAAGTTTCGCATTTGAATATTGTAATGGCTTATGACAAATGTTACCTATGCAGGTCCATGTCGTCGTATAGACCTTAATATGACAGCTACATTTGGTATTTTTAAGATGTTAACAGAATTTTGAACGGATTTTATATATTTTTTGAAAATTGCCAAATTTTTTACAAATGGTGAAAGGTATTCAAAGTTCGGCCGGCCGAACTTACAGCTTTTTTACTTGTAATTTTTTGTTTGCTTCTACAAATGCAACATTCTAACACATCTTAGTGTACACTTGCAGTTGTAAAAGTGCATCGGTATGAAATCGACAATTTTGCATGCGCCACAAAATGTTAATGAGTAATTGCTCCCAAAGATATTTATGCGAAAATGTAAACAAAATTCTTGTAATTTTTTTATTAATTTTCTTATTCATGTTTGCGTAGTTTTTATTTTAAAGATGATCTATACATCTTACTTAAACGACAGTATTCAGCTTGAATTTCAGTTGCATTCATATGTAGTAAATACCCTTATATATTATGTGCAATTTTTTTCATTTTTGCCGATCAAAATTTGAAATCATATCGATCGAAGTTTGCGCAACAATACAATTCCTTTAGTTAACTGAGATGTATATAATATTCTGAGTTGGTAATTGAGGTAATATCAAAGATGTTGGAACCTTATGGCAAGAAGTAATCAGAATAAATGCAATCGTGTCACAATTTTGCATTCGATCTAATTTTCCCAAAATTTTGCCTCTCTTAAGAACAATAAGCCCATTCAATCAAATTTATCATACAACAACAATTACTTTCTCCTGATCAAAAAAAAAAAAAAAAAAAACCAAAACATTTTTAAATAAAAATTGTCAAATTTATTGAATAATAATTATAATTTTAAATATATTTTATTTTTATTGTAGAATTGGGGAAACTCGTTAACGGCGTCGACTTTACACAAAATACATCAATTTACGAAGAAGGTGGAAAAATATAGCCAAGCCATCAGCCAGAGTCCTTTCCCAGGAATGCCATTCATTCATTCAGTCCAACGGTGAGTACAATTTTGATTGGTGCAAACATAGTACAATCTCATTTCCTCTTCAGCACGTCGAGTCTGAGCCTGGAAAAACACAGATTCACGATGACCACACTTGGGACACTCGTGATCTTCGGTACGTGGCAGCGTTGGATCCGAAATGACATCGGGGCAAATGTGTGTCAACTCATCGATTTCGTGCATAATTTTGTTCACATAAATGCAATTGGAATCGGCCTCCTGACGATAGTCACAATTACGACATGCGTACATTAGGATCTTATTTTCCTTGTCCTCTTTGGGATACAACATGTTGTTGCACTCCTGACAGAAACGAATGCCCACATAGCCGGGACCTTCACTGGCAGCAGCATCAAAAGACAATGCCATGGCGTAGAATGTGTTGTCTGTTGTTTATGGGGATAAAGATAGAATGTTAGTGGATGGTAGCAAACGTCAACCTGAAAATATATGTGAAAAAGAAAAGATATTGTTGTAAAGTCTTATAACAAATAAAAAAATATTAAATAAAAAAACATTTACAATAGCGTTTCATTTAATAATCAAAAGCCAGAGTAGGAAAATGAAAACCTAGTGCAACTAATTACCAATGTAACTACTTGTAAAAAATTATTTTAAAAGGTATGTCGCCCGAAATTGGTAGTTTCAGACCCTCAAAGTCGACAATTCAGTAGAGAAAAGGATTTTTTAGAAGTAAAATTAAATTTTATGACAATCCTCCTTTTTATTTTTTCCGCTGCTGGGATTGAACTCGCAAACTAACCATTTGTAGTAGTCAAAAACACTACATTCTGTGCAAAAATAAAGAGCTGTTTAAAGTCTTAAGTCTATAAAAAGTCATATACATATATATTACAATAGCACGTAACCGCTACTTCGTCAGCACCTTCGTGCACCTGTAAATGTTAGATTCGTTCCAACAGTTCGTGTTAGGTTTTTCTATTATTCAAAATTCACAATTTGTCCAGTTTGAAATATTTTTTAATCACAAAATTATACATCTTTCGAAATTTTGAGACTTTAAAGGTTTTATGTATTATGCGCGCTTTTCCTTTTTCGGATCCTTTGGGGGGAGATACTTAAAAACTGATACCAATATTAGGATTTTCAAAGTTTGGACAAAATCGTATGATCCGTTCTTGTTGTAAACGGTAAATTTTTTTCTATGAAAATCTTGACCTTTTATAGGGGTAGGTACCAGAACGATTGGACCGATGTTGTCCATCTCCGAAATTGATCTATGTTTGACAATTATATTACGATATACCAAGGTTGGATTAACTCGGATACTCTCTTCGAGAGTCATCGTGCGCACAAGCCAGCCTGACAGACAACCCGTATCAAATGATATATACCCTCTTTAGTCATATGGCTGAGGGTACAATTAGTACCATTTAGTACTTTTCGTACAATTTTAGTACACATATATGGAACCACCACCAAATCTAAACACCAGATACCAAGAGTGACCACAATATCAAATTTCGGGATTCCATCTCTATACATTCACTCAATACCAATTTTAGTTCAAATTAGTACTTTTCGTACAAATATAGTACACATTTTCAAATCAATCCCCATATCTCAACACCAACAGTGACATTTATATCAAATTTCAAGATTTTTGCTCCATACCTTCATCCAATATCCAATTTTGTACCATATAGTAGTTTTCGGACAATTATAGTACACATTTCCAAATCCACCTCCATATGTCCAGGCTACAAATGATTAGCTATCCTAATGCCAACTTTCAGATTTCAAGCACGCAATACCAAATTGTACCAAATATGGTACTATTTAGCATTTTTCTTACAACTATCGTACACATTACCAAACCACCTCCAAATCTCAATCCCAGATCCCAACAAAGACATCAGTATTAAATTTGAGGATTCCAGCTCTATCTCTTTACACAATACCCAATATACTACTTTTCGGACAATTATCGTGCGCATTTCCAAAACCACCTCCATATCTTAACCACAGACACAACAAGAGACTTCAATATCAAATTTGAAGATTCCAGCTCTATCCCTTCACCAAAACCGAATTTAGTACTATTTAGTACTTTTCGGACAAATATAGTACGTATTTTCATGTCAATCACCATATGCCAACCTCAGATGGCAAAAGTGACCTTTATACCAAATTTAAGGAATTGAATGTTTTAATTTCCCACATTACCAAAATCTAGTACCAAACTAATGGTACCATTTAGTACAATTATAGTACGCTTATCCAAAATCAGCTCATTCTCTCAACCACAGACACCAACAGTTTTATCGATATCAAAATTCTGTATTCCAGCTCTATCCCTTCGTCCAATACCCAATTTAGTGCCACTTAGTACTTTCGGACAATTATAGTACACATTTCCAAAACTACCTTCATATCTTAACCATACACAACAACAGAGACTTGAATATCAAATTTGAGGATTTCAGCCCTATCCCTTAACCCCAATAAGCAATTTAGTACCACTTAGTACTGTAAGTACAAATATAGTACGCATTACCAAAACCACTTGAATATCATAGCGTAAGACACCAAAAGTTATCTAAATATTTAATTTCAGAATTTAATTTAATATCATAACTTCAGATACCAGCAATTATCTAAATATCAAATTTCAGAATTTTATCTTTATCCCTTCATCCAATACAAAAAAAGTATCATTTAGTACTTTTCGTACAATTATAGTACACATTTTCAAAACCACCTGTATGTGTTCAGGCTACACATGATTAACTACCCTAATATCAAATTTCAGATTTCAAGCATTTTTTCAGCCTATACCAAATTGTACCAAATATAGTACTATTAAGTACTTTTCGCGCAGTTGTAGTACACTTTTCCAAAACCACCTCTTTATCACAAATCAACTACCAACAGGGAACCAAATACAAAATTTAAAAAAATTCCAGCTTAATTCGATCACCTTGTTCCAAATTTAGTACCATTTAGTACGGTTCTCCCACTTAGTGCACATTTCCAAAACCACCTCCTTATCTAATTTACTTTCCAACCTTGATTCTCATACTAAATTTCTAGATTTATCTCTATTCGTTCATATAATACCCAATGGTTCGGTTTTAGAAGTTTAGTACCATTTTAGAACTTTTCACAACCCTAAATTTCGATTTTCCAAACACCCTTTGGTAAACCTATTGTGCACTCCATCAGTGATTCTCATTTCAATTCAATTCTAGCCCATTCCGTTTGTCCAATACAAAGTATTCAGTTTTTAGTACATTTTAGTACTTTTCGTACCCTTTTAGTATGAATTTCCAGATCTCTGTTCTATCACACGACTATAGCCGAAGACTGACCTTCGTGCAAACTATTAGTCAATCAGTTATTTCACTTCTCTTTTATACATATAAAAGATAAAAGACCTCTAACAAGTCTTCCACAGGCAAAATATTGTTCTGATGTCTCCATAAAAAACAGCTTATGTGGATGGAATATTTCTTTTAGGTCTGGATAGAAATACTGTCTCAAGTCCTCTATAAATAAATTACCTCTCACGGACCTCCAATAGACAGGAAATCTCTTTCAAGTCTTCAATAAAAAGAAGCCCTCGGATAGGTTACTATATAGAGGAACTCTCACAAGTCTTCTATAGCTAGAAGACCACTAAAAATTCTCCTACGATAAAAAAACCTACGGCACTTCGGTATATTGAGGACCACCCACAGGTATTCGGTGACAAGAAACCCTATGACATTTTGACTTTTTGTGATCCCGTTTAATAGGAGTTTTTAACCCTATTCGGACCCCTTGGTGACTCGCTTGATGGTTAAAATTTTCGACAAAATAATTCTCGGATTGTTATCTTTAATTACACTATATCCATAAAATCCAAAGACTCCAACGAATCTTAATCCGAAAATTTAATAACATGTAGTAGAGGGCGGAACATGTCCCCTCTCTTTATCAAGATCAAGACAAAATTAATATTTCCTAACAAAAATAAATTACCAATATAAGGGATCCCGAAATTATGATTCAAACACAAATGTCATGTGCTATCGCACCTGTATGCAACCAACAACGAACACTAATTGCTGACATGTTGTACATTCATTGTGAATGATGACTTCCAGGGGCATGCGTTCATCCCCCCCTCACCACACCACACCTCGCATAGCGTAACCAAATATGGAAAGCGTTCTCATATTGACTCATATACATCACACACAATGGATGGCATTTGAATAATTCTTTTGTTTCGTAATAATTTATGACACGATAGAAATGAAAACCACCAAACCTTTGCATATATCAACCTTCCTTCCATCCATCCTCTACCTGTGCTGTCCATATGACATCAAACTGTCACAAAAACTGACATTTGATGAGTGTTTCTTTTCATACTTAAACAATTTTTCAGCTATTTAACCGCACGGACAGAAATGTTCGTTTTTCGTTGTTGTTGTTGATTTCTTGGTTTCTTCTTCGGATGGGGGAAACCGCCAGCAACAGCAAATAATAGTTTCGTTTTGAAGATATTTTTAGCATTTATTCTGTTATTCATATAATTTATTATTTTTTTGTGGTAAAGAAATTGTACCGTATTTTGTGAAGTGAACAACAGTGGGTTGGGTCGAAAGTGATAATAATAGATGGCATATCAAATGGAGTTTCACAAAGTGCAAGCCGCATTTATTGCCCGATCGAGATTAACATTTGTATAAATCATTTATTTGGCCAAAATTCCTTCATTTTGAAGTTTACGGACAAAGAAATTAGTAACACCTTTGCACAATGGACCCACATCCAAATTTCTGTCCAAAACTATTTCAACATCTTTTTATATGAATCCTCGAAGCCAACAGTGACCTCAATATTAAATTTCAGGATTCAAGCTCTATCCATTCACTCAACGGCAAATTTAGTATAATTTAGTTGTTTTCGAATAGTCATAGTACGCATTCCCACCTTCTTTCAAAACTATATACCAGGAGAGGTTTCCATATCAACTTTTCAAAATTTCAGCACTATCCCAAGATCCAATCCCAAATTTGTTTCCGAATACTACATATATTTAAAATTACCTCCTTCTCTCCAGACTAGACACCAGCAGTGACCCCGATACCAAATTTCAGACTTCCATCTGTATCCCAACAACACATTTTGTAGCACTTTGCAGTTTTCGTACGTTCATAGTACGCATTTCCAAAACCACCGGGTTCTTTCAACTACAGACATCAACAGTGACATCTATATAAAATGTCAGGATTTCAGCTCTATCCCTTCACTTAATACCAAATTCAGTAGCATATAGAAATTTTCGTATAATTTCAGTAATTATATAATTTCAATATCAAAATCAGTCCAACTTAGTACTTTTCAAAACAATCTCCACAGCCACCAATAGTGGTATCCTTCACCCAATACCAAATTTAGTACCTTTTATAAATAAAAAAAAACATAT